CTTCACTGTCTGCACATTTCCCTCAAAGCTGTGTCAGGAAAATGGATCCAACGTTTGTCACACAGTTTATGATGAATAAACCAAATAAATGTTGTTATTGTGTTCCAAGTCCACTAAGCCTCGACTACAATGGAAATACTCACAGTCACAGTGACTGATCATTAGTATTGTTACCAAACACACCACAGTAATTCAAAGAGATGCTGTCTAATATTGTCAAGATAAAAAAGTGATAGAAACAAAGACCCGTGACTTTTGTTTTTCCATGTTTATCCTTGGAAATGAGACTTTATTTTTCTCCTTAATGTTCTGCACACAGCACATCCCATAATAACAAAGAAAACGTATCACAAATAAAAACACATCATGTACATGGATAGTCACAATGTTTGCTTTGGAGCACCTCTGGCAGCACTTACAGTCTGAGGACTGGGTATGACACTGTAAGCCTGGCTGTTTCGCGTCCTTCTTTGTCCTCTCAGACTCCATCACGGGGGACGGGCAGCATTTTATGCCATCTTCACATCGAGTCTGGGCTCTGGCTGGGCAACATCACAATGTGGCTCCAGAGCAACATTGTGATGTTGCTGAACCTTTTTCTTGGCCGCTCGAACAAACAGGCCTGATTGGTGGAGTGCTGCAGAGAAGCTTCTCCTCTCTGGAGCTCTGTCAGAGTGATCGTCTGGGTTTTAGTCCGCTCCTTGAGTAAGGCCTTCTACCCAGATCACTCAGATGGGTGGGGTGGTCTGGGAACAGTCCTTTGTTGTTACAAACTTGTTGCCTTTGTGGATATTGGCTGCACAAATGTTTCTTTTGCTCGATATAACTCAGAGGTGTACAGACAGGTCCTGGCACATCGTGCTGGATGATGGATGGTTGAATATGGGGACAAGCAGAGTTAACCACTGGACTCCAGTCAAGTTGTAGAAGCGCTTCACAGATGAGACAGGATGTAACAACCTTTCAGTACGTCTAAAATGAACATGTTTTAATGTAACTGTAATATTTTTGTTTTTCATTTTTAATCATTTGTAAAATAAGTTTGCAACAATTTGAAGCGAATTTATATTTAAATTGTCATCATATTGGGATATGTTGAATGTTGAGGTGAAAAATGAATTGAATCCACTTTGGAATATGGCTGTAGCATTAAAAATGTGAAGAAGTGAAGCGCTTTCAGTACTGTCTAGATCTTTGGCCACTATAGGAACAGGGCTGCACCCTTTGAGTAATTTGAATAACGTGATTATAAAAACACGCTCTGTAGCGCTCAGCTGTCACCATGTTGACGTGTGTTTCGCCCACATTTGTGACTCAACATAGACTTGCAGGTTTTTCAACCAAAACACTGATCACACAACAGCAGCAGTGATGATGATGATGTAGTTTAACATGGAGTCCAGCTACACACAGTGAAGAGCAAAGAGGCGGAGCCGTTACAGAGCCGGTGACCTCAGGTCGAGTAAACAGTGCAGCGCTGTTCCTGCAGAGGTTAACCTTCACTGCAACACACACACCTACAGACACACACGGACACACAGACACCTGCAGACACACGGACACACACAGACATCTGCAGACACACAGACACACACACACAGATAGACACAGACAGACACACACACACGCAGTAGCGGTTTTAGATACGGGCTACACGGGCGGTTGCCCAGGGCGGCATCATGGTGGGGGGCGGCATAAAAAATAAATAAATAAAATTTAAAAAGTTGCTCGTACTCATGCTGTGCGACGTCATGCCAGCGCATATTGGGAATGGCATAGGCACCGATCGGTTTTCTATCGCCCATTTGCTGGGAGTAAGGGCGCCCTCCGTTTGCGAGGTGCACCTGCTGCTGGCGGCACAGGGAGGAGAGGGAGGGGTGGCGAGGATTCTCTGGCTGGCTGGACCAGCATCTAATAACCAACTCGCAAAATGAAAGAAAATAAAAACAAACCAACAAACACGAAAACACCAGACATTATGATACAGACTTATAATTTGCACCGATGTTTTTCCTCGGTGCGCCTGCTCGCTGCTGAATTCAAAGTAAACTTTATT